AATTAAATCCTGCAGATTTTTGTTTCACTATCAAACTATGCTGAGAGACTTTTGCTAGCTTCACGTAAAAATTTAAAAAGAACCTGAGTTAAATTTAGATGTAGCTATAAATATAAAACATAAAATACATTTGAATGCTGGGCGACAGACAGCATTCAAATGTATTTCATCCTAATAGCCTTGACCATAGAAAATGAACTGAAGCAAGCTCTTAATTTGGAACTATTTTGAGCCGATATTGCGTCACTTCCTGTGAATAGCTAAAATTTGTGATGCTAAAACTCAAAACGTCAAATTTATTTTTATTTTACATTGAATTTTGGTTTCAGTAATTTTTTGGTTTAAAAAAAATTGAGAACACAGCTGAATAAAATTCAACTTGTTCCTAATGTTATGGTACTTAAAAAACTTTATTGAACACAAACAAACAAACATTGATGCTCGGTTATCTTATGAGAAGTACAAACTTCAGCCTCAACAAATGTTTATGTAAATAAATAATTCTGATGACTTTCTTCAAACAAGCCATTCAAAAATGTCATGTTTTATGTTTCAATTGAAATTGTGAACAGTTGTTGCTAATGAGATGTTACGTCACATCCGGTAGCTAAAATTAGAAATGCCGTGAACGCAAATACGCTCTTTATACTGTGTACTTTTGTATTAAAAATACAGAACAGTTTTCTTCATAAACCAGGTAAGTGTTTTGTTTTTCTAATTGTTTTGTCCTCTTGAGCACCTCTGTTGTTATTAAATGCAAATTTTATTCCCATAGTTAAATAATTGGAACAAATAATATGTTATGAAATGTATAACAGTGACTTTCTACACGTGAGGTTTGGTAGCAAACAAATCATGTTTTTGGTGTTTTTTTTATTTCTGCAACAGATGCGTCCATCGTCCTCAGCTCTTCCAGGATGAACCAGGCGGGGGGGTCTCCTCGGGTCGTAACATGTCATGTCAAACAGAAAGGCTCGTTTTACACCAAACCCTGTCATCGTGTTGTGATAAGCCGCTGTGAATATCCATCAAGAAATCAGACCAACCCACTGGATTGTCGAGCAGTGGACCGTTTCGAGCCTCCTCCTCCTCCTCCTCCTCCTCCGTCGTCTCCTCTTCCTCACCCCCTGCCTGCGCTGTTACATTTCCACCTCTCCTCCTCTCGCTTTTCCGCGGCACAGCGACGGTGCTCAAGGCAGAGACCGGGACGCGACGGGCGGACACCCGGGGAGGGAAGCGACGCGGCGGCGGCTGGTTCTGCCTCTTTTGTCGCACGCCGGCCGGCCGATCGGCCGGGCGGGACTGGATGGTTGGATTGGTTTCTTGCTCAGATTTGGATCGCGGCTCAGGATAACTTCGCACGGGACAAAAAAAAACCCGCCTCCTTCTACGTCTGCCAGCGATTTGTTTCGCCTGGCGTGTTGACGGAGGAGGAGGAGGAGGAGGAGAGGCTGCCCGCCGGAGGAGCGCAGYTGACGGGGATGAGACATGAAAACACACGCGGGCTTCACGTCCACCGGCTGATCGGAACACAGAGGCGAACAACACGGCTCGTGGCTTCAGTGGGCTGCAGGGGGGGAGGAGAGCCTGTGATGCAGCAGCGTGGATCTGTTCACACSGAGGACGAGGAGAGGATGCTGTGATGTTCGCTCCGCACCGCAGCGCGATGCGTTTTCTGCCACCAGAACCGCACGGATTAACGCACTGAACCGCAACTTTTGTTTAGGGGCGCSATAGATGGCAACAAAAACAAACAAATCCGTTTCATTAGTTCACGTGCGTTTATTCCTGATCCCGCTGTGTGCTTTGGTTTCTAGCCTCTTCTGGTGCCATCAGCCCTGAAGGTCTGCGCYTCAGGATTTACTGCCCCCCAACCCGGATCCTGCTCTCTGGTGATGTCAGCGGTGATAAATCGCCCCCCAGCGCCGAGTTGCCAAATGGATTTAATAAATAGTAGCAGTGGGCAGGCCTGACATTCGCTTATGCAAATCCCGATCGATAGCGAGATAGAGACAGTTCTGGCTGGCTGTTGGCGCTGCGCGTGTCACGGGGGTGTGTTCGGAGTCCAGCACGKTTAGTTTGGACACAAACCTCCAGACGGCAGAGACGGAAACTGTCCAAAAACCACCGCGCAGTTTGTGAAGCGGCGTCTCGAGGAAAGTTTCGATGGTTTTCCGAAAGTTGCCCGGTGTSTCGGCATCGGCCATGGGTCTGCGCCTGTCCCAGAAGTTCGTCTTCCTGCTCTTCCTCTCGGGTTTGGTCACGCTGTGCTTCGGAGCGCTTTTCTTCTTRCCGGACTCCGTCCGACTGAAGCGCATTTTCCTGTCCAAGACTGAGGTCCAGCCGGTCACCGTCGGTTCCGAGAACGACGTCAGGGAGCAGCACCTGAAAAGGTCCAAGGAGCAGGAGCATCCGCGGGTCATGACCCCGGCCAGRGGCGAGACGGGCACCAGGTCCAAAAGTCTGAGCCGCAGACTCCCCGCGTCCCAGGAGGAGACCGAGGCCGGGGCCAGGGCGCAGGAGGACCTCACGTTGTCCAGGTCCAAAACGGAGTCCGCCTCGCAGAGGGCCACCTCTGCTGGCCACCACGGGGCCACCACGGATACTTTCAGTTTCAGGAAGTTCCAAAGCTGCCTCCTCAAACCCCCGCTGGGCAGAGACGACGGCAAGCCGGCCGACCCGAAGAGCAACGAGCGCCGGGAGAAAGTCCGAGAGGTGAGGCTGAGACCCTGCTGGGGCTGGGGCTGAGACCCTGCTGGGGCTGGGGGTGGGGGTGGGTTTGTCTCAAGGTTTGGGTCTAAGTTGAACTAAGAAAGTCAAGGAAGTTCAAGAGACAGGGAACTCAGATACTTGAAACCAAAGTGGAAACACCTGCCAACACAGCCTGCAGCCAGAGTTTTATTGTGTAAATAAATATTAGACCTGCTGTCATGAAACAGGAAACATGAAACCCATGAACATAATTTCTTTATTCTAAATCAGAAACACATTAATTCTTAAAAGAACACTTGTCTTTCAGCACTGAAATTTACAGATGTTGCAAAAATGATTTCCTGTCAGATGTTCCCTAATCTAGACAGARAAAAACAGTGTTTATAGCAAAACTTAAAAACAATAATTTATATTTTTTAAGT